GCTCACTTGGTAGCCCAGGCTGGCCTCGAACTCACAGAGATCCGCCTGGCTCTGCCTCCCGAGTGCTGGGATTAAAGGCGTGCGCCACCAACGCCCGGCTTGTCTGTCACTTTTATTTCTGCTTCTGCCAAAGATGATTTCTAAAGGTCACACTTTTAGGCATATGAAACAAATCACCTAATGACAACTGTCATCGTAGTTTGTGGCATAACTTAGATCTGGTGACTGAAAAAAAAAACCCCACCTCTTTTTAAATAGATGGCCATTTCTGCCAAGCGAGGTGCTGCCTTTTCCTGTGGCAGAAGTGGCATACACTTGGGCCCTCAGATAGTACAGGTTGCACACGGCTCCGTGGTGCTTCTTTTATTTTAACTTTAAACATTTGGTATCACTGTGGACATATGTACATGATGTGTGTGTAAGCATGTGTGCCATGACTTGCAATGTGGAGGTCAGAGGATGACTTTCTGGAGTCAGTTCTCTCCCTTCATCTCTACATGGCAGCTGGAGGGCATGCTGAGGTTGCCAGACATGGGCCGCAAGTGTCTTTAGCCACCACACCATCTCACTGGCTCTGCACCTCTCTCATAAGGTCACTAATTCCATTCATGAGGGCTCCACTCTCATTTTTTTTATTATTGTTTTTGAGCCTGGGTTTCTCTGTGTAGCTCTGGCTGTCCTGGAACTTGCTCTGTAGACCATGCTGGCCTCGAACTCACAGAGATCTGCCAGCCTCTGCCTTCCAAGTGCTGGGATTAAAGGCATGTGCCACCACTGCCTGCCTCATATTTTTTTTTTAAAGAATATCTTTTAATCGTTCTTTGATGATTTCACAGTTGTCAGCAATATATCCTTATACTCACACCAACTGCCCCCCTTCACTCATTTTCAGGTGCCTCAAACCAATCCCTCTCTCCCTTCATATAGTCCCCTTAAAAGAAGTCATCACAGTGTTAGGTACGATTAAGACATTCTTTGTGTGTGGGTGTTTTGCCTGTTTGTCTGTGCTCCATGTGTGTGCCCAGGGAGACCAGAAGATAGTGTCAGATACCCTCAAACTGGAGTTAGAGATGGTTGTAAGCTGCCATGTGGGTGCTGGGAATAGAACCTGTGTCCTCTGGTAGATCAGCTGGGTTCTTACCCATTGAGCCATCTCCTCAGCCCCACATGATATTTCAAACAAAGTGTGTTTGCGTGGTTCTTCTTCCTCCACATCCTCTCCCGCAGTCTCTATGCCCCTCCCTGTTGCTGACTCCTAGATTCTTTTCCTTTTCATGTCCCATTGTCTTTTTCCCACCCTCATCCTTCCCCATCACCAAATACTTGGCCTCTTTTCTGGGTTTTTTAGACTTAACACCTCTTCATATATATATGCATTACAGGCAATGATCCTCATATACAGAAGAATGTGCAGTTTGTTCTTTTTGGGGTGGGGTGACCTCACTTAATATTATACTTTTTGGATCCACCTATTTTCCTGCAAATCTTATGATTTCTTTACAGCTGAAGAATATTCCATCATGTGCGTGTACCACATTTTCATTATTGATTTATCTGTTGATGGACTAGGCTGGTTCTATGTTCTTGCTATCACAAATATAGCAACAATAAAAATGATGAGCAAATGTCTCTGTGGCAGGATATGGAGTCTTTTGGGTCTGTGCCTAGGAGTTACATGGATAGGTCATATGGTAGTTTTAATTTTAATTTTTTGAGGAACCTCCCCACCAATTTTCATATTGGTTGTACTAATTTGCACCCCTACCAGCAGTGAATAAATGTTCCTCTTTTCCCCACATCATGTTCAACATTTGTTTTCCAATTTCCTGATGATAGCCATTCTGCCTAGGGCATTCCCACTCACAGTTAACAAAATCTGAAAGGTCCGTCTTAGTACCATCAGGCCAGAGAGTAATTGTCCAAGTCTGACTCCTGGACGCACACCAGACCGTAGCAAGTCTGTAAGCTGCTCCTCATGGAACAGCGCTGTGTAAATGCCAAACAAATACTTTTGGTTGGAAGTAATGTTCACTCATGCATTTCAAGTCTTGTGGTATATTCTTTGCTTTTTTATTAATTACCAAGAGCAATATTAAAATCTCTCACTCTACTGAACTATTTTTCCTTTAACTTTGTTTTTATTGTGTGTATTTGAAAGCACTGTTTATGTAAATGTAAATCTGAGATTCAGCATTATAAATTGTACTTCGTTTTCTCAATGAAGACTCATTAAAATATTTATTCGCCGGGCGGTGGTGGCGCACGCCTTTAATCCCAGCACTCGGGAGGCAGAGGCAGGCGGATCTCTGTGAGTTCGAGGCCAGTC